AGATTATGGGAAAAGTAACTGGATTGTTCTCAAAAATCCCAAACTATGTCTGAATTTCAGCTGTTAGTAGAATGATGACTGAAATCTTGTTTTAATTTGTACTTATAACAATTAGATTTTGACTTATACAAATGTATAGTTGGTAACCATTATATCTGCATTCCAACTCAAAATCAGTGCTTTACTGTGAAATGTGCATTTTCAAGAAGACTACAATGAGCAATATTGTTGGCAATAATGCAATAGCAATAATGCTCTGGAAGTCGTGGCCTAATGGTTAGAGAGTTGGTAACCCAAAGGTTGCGGGTTCGAGTCTCGTACTGGCAGGGATTGTAGGTGGGGGGAGTGAATGTACAGTGCTCTCTCCCACCTTCAATACCATGGCTGGGGTGCCCTTGAGCAAGGCACCAAATCCCCAACTGCTCCCCGGGCGCCACAGCAAAAATGGCTGCCCACTGCTCCGGGTGTGTTTTCACGGTGTGTGTGTGTGTTCACTGCTGTGTGTGTGCACTTTGGATGGGTTAAATGCAGAGCACTAATTCCGAGTATGGGTCACCATACTTAGCCACATGTCACGTCACTTTCACTTTTTTCACTAAATACAGCTGTCTTCAAGTGTCCCTGTCTATTAATTGTTAAATGTATTGAAAACAATCTTTTTCAAAGCTGCTGAAACTTTAACTCCATCCATGACAACCATAACCACAGCCACACTTTACAAACTAGATGGCATGCCATTTTCTATTATCTTTCTTGTGGTCTGTGACATGGCCACAAAAGACATATTCAAAGTAAAAAAAAAAAAATCCTAAGAATCATAAACAGGTGAAGGGAACTTTGTACAAAACAAGTTAATCACAAGGTTTATGACTTTTTCCCCCCAATGTGGTTTTGACATGCTATCTCTGAGTCTCCTCAAACCAATGCTGAAATGTCAAAAGAAAAGCTTAAATCTTTTTCTCTGGCCAATGTGAAGGGGAAATATTATTTAATATTATTTAAAAATGTTTCCCAATGTTGTCCAAAGTCTTTATCAAGACACTGTACCTATTTTCAAAACAAAGATGCATGTAGTTTGTGGCCTTCACACCTAAAGCTCTTATATGTGTATGAGCCATAGACTGTAAAAAACAGGTATGAGCTAACCTACTTCCTTTGGCCAAACAACTGGTGCAAAAGAGAGCATTGTCATGACTGATCTTAGAACAGACTTTGGTGTATGAATTATCACCGTCAATGACAAGAAAATCTGATCAGCATCCAGCAGTGAACCTTTTAAAGAAAAACAAAACAAAAAACAGTCTCATTTCACCTGAATCTCAAGTGAGAACCTAATCTTAGATGAACTTTATCATGGACGAAAGAGGTATATGACAACTTTCTGCTTTGCAAAAATACTCATTTCTCAATTCTTCATCTCATTTCTTCATTTTTTTTATTTCCTAAATGGCCTTTATTGGCTAAGCATATTTTAGTGGGGAATTACTAACTGTATTTCATAGGCTACCAATAACAACACAGATGGAAACTCCAAAAACCCACGCAAACTGGGAGTGAGCAGAAAGCGGGGTTTTACTTCCTTTGACTGGAAATCTAGAAGTTCTTCAGAAATCAAGCAAACACTGGACTATGACTACACATTCACAATGGTGTTATGTTTAATCGCTCTAACAGGTAACGTAAATTTTAAACTAACTTTAAAAGCTGAAATAAGTGCAATCATGGCACCAAATAATTACTTTAATGTATCTGTTACAAAAATATATTTTGTGCAATTCTAAACAACAAGCAGGATAAAATCCCTTTGCTTGCTTTCTGTCAGCTCTCCTCGTTTTGCCCCTGAAGCATTTGGAAGCAGTAGAGTTGAAAGAAGTTAAACTTGGAGAGACAGTGGCACTGATGTGCAACCTGTCTTTCTACTCTGAGATCCACTGGCTGAAGATGAGTGAGGGGCGGCTGATGGCTCTGATGGTCACAAGACTGAAACACACTGGAGAACTGTCTGTTGTCTGGAATTATAATGAAACTCATTTTGAGGGCTTTATGGAGAAGCAGACGACTGGACTGAGAATGCTCCACGTCTCAACCAGCGATCTCGCCACATACTATTGTGCAACATCCTATCAAAATCACTTGAATTTTGACAAAGGAGTGCAACTATACAGTAAGTGTGAGCATTTCATTTCTCAAGAAATAAACTCTATTAACAAAAATAAATAATTAAAAGAAACGTCTTACTTTGAACAGCTTTTATTTCCGGCAAATTTCTTAATGTGTAAATATTTATTTTTAACATAAAGAACTTAACAACTGAGACATAAATTCAACTTGCGCAGGCATTTGACACAGAAATGGAATAATGAATTCCTGAAGAAAGGGGGGTCAGTATGAAAAGTAGCAGTGAGTATCTTGGGTGCCCCAGCTGCTTTATGCGCTACATTGCATCTCATCCTCATGAACTGCAGCAGATTTGCCAGTTACCACACGGCAATATACTCTTATCAGCCGCACAGAAACACCCTAGCAACCACCCCAAGTAATCTAGCAACTGCATAGCAACATCCTAGCATCCATACAGAATATCATTCTGTTTTTCTAATAGACTGCATGACCTTTAAAACTGCTTTAAACTGAAAACCTTTGAACCTACATTTTTTAAGACTACTTCAAAACTGTCTAGTCAGGCTTTTTCAAGCCAACATCAAAGTTGGTCTTGAACATTTTTATCTAGTTATAGTCTAACTGTGACCTTAATTTCCTGGCGTTTTAAGGACTATTCCACACCGAAATAGTTAAAAAGTAATATTGTTTAAACCCTTTCCAATATAGATTTGTAAAGCTTTATTCGGATTGGATTACAAAATTATATTGAAATTCAAATTATATTTGGATTACAAAATTATATTTAAAATACAATATCCCGAAAGGGGGATTTTAATTTTTTTTTACTGAGTTTATTTGGGCATTATTATTAGAAGTGTGATTCTTCTGCTCATCTTTTTTTGTAGTCTTTTCACCAAACCAGCAAAGTAAATACAAGCCCTTTGATCAAGTTCAAGGTAAGCATGAAAAATGCTCTAACACGATAAAAAAACACAATAAACAATATTTTACATATATAAAATATCTGTTTTTCGTACAGTGTAAATAAAAATAGAAAAACAATCTGTCTGACTGAACTTTCCTAAAAAAACAGGTCCCGATGGTCTTTCTCTTCATTACCAAGTATTCATAGCAGTGCTGTGTTTTGGCCTTCTGGGAATGTTAGTATCTGTTTTAGTGGTGCATATGAAGACCAGGAAAAAAAACAAAACCTCCAGCAATGAAGAATAAAAGAGAATACAGCATACAAATATTTAAAAAGCATGATTGTTGTTGTTGTTCAAATAAATATATGAAACTCCAAATTTGACAGCTATAACGGGCTGTTTTTGGCCTTTCTTTGGATAGGAGAAAAGGGAATGAGGATGGATATATATGTATACTATTAAGAAATACAGGATATTTATAAATCTATACAAATCTATAGGCAAGTCTAGCATTTTAATTGTTAAATAATTGATTAAATGTTCATGTATGTTTATATTTTATTCGTTTGTTTCGTTTTGGAAATAAAACAATAGCCTATTGTTTGTCCTTCATGAAAAATGTGGTCTAGAAATTATTGTTCTTTATTTTTTCCCACTGTTACTCTCATTTCTTTATTGTTTCATAGTTCCATAAAACCAGTTGGCATGCAATCATTTTGAAAAAACAAAAAAACGTTTATATATATTTTTTTTAAATTAAGAATATACAGTTCACTTTATGGTGGACTAGTCCTCTTATATAGTTGAGTGTTTTTGTAGGCTCAACTACTAATCCTAACCCGGATAAAAAGAGACAAAGACATTTAACCCTGTCAGAGAGATATATTAGAATAATTAGCTATTTATAGCGCGACTTCTGCATATCAATCATGTTACAGTGCTATAGTGCTTGGTGTAGGTTTATTTCACATAGCCTAATAACAATCCCTGTACAGCATTTATGTGGGCAGTGTGGGAATAAAATACGAAACACATATTCAGCATTTCAAAATAGCATCAATCCTTTAAATTGCCAGTAGGGAGAAAACCATATGGCTACTTGAAGATGAATTTAAACATTAACGTTTTTATGTTGTATTATAGGCAGGCAGGCAGATAGGCTATATAGGCCTAGGTCATTGCACAGTGCATGCGCACATGCGTATTCGAAACCTACTCCAGCGCATGCGTGTAAACATCACCTAGCGAAAATTGGGCTAATCAATGGGGTTTTCGTCTTTCAGTTGAAAAAACCCAGGTAATATGTTTTTCAAAGAAGAAGAAAACTCCTGAAGTTAAATTAAAGTTGTATAAACAAACATTAGAGCAAGTATCACTAATAAGGTATCTGGGAGTATGGATGGATTCCAAATTAACATTTGGGTCACATATTCAGAAGTTAGTTGATAAATGTAAGAAAGGAGTCAATGTGCTGAGGTGCTTGGCAGGAGTAGATTGGGGAGCTACTAGACGTTCTCTTAAAAGGGTATACAGTGCATTAATTAGGTCAGCAATTGATTATTGTAGAATAGTATATGGCTCAGCATCAACCTCATTATTAACTAAGATAGAGGTAATTCAAAACCAAGCCCTTAGAATATGTTGTGGAGCGTTTAGATCCTCTCCTGTGACAGCTTTGCAGGTAGAAATGGGTGAAACACCACTAGACATTCGTGAAATTCAGCTTAAAATGGTATATTGGACTGGTATTAAAGGTCATTTTACCAATCATCCAGTAAAAAAAAAAAATATCTGAGAGATACAGATTTGATTAGACGAATTTAGTTTTTATTTTATTTATTTATTTTTATTTTATTAGTAGTATATAATATGTTCGTTCATCGAGGCCTCACACTCCATCCCAGTAGGTGGCGGAAATGCACCTTAAGCTGGTTTGCCAACCGCCATTAAACAAAAGAAGAAGAAGAAGAAGAAGAAACTAGTCAAGTGGATATTTTTTTTTGTACCTAGTCTACTTTTTTTTTTGGTTTGTCGTCTCGACACAAACAAAATCCTACCTTCGACTTTAGTCAAAGTTACTCGTGACAGGATTTTGTATTTTTGCAACGACAGTGTTCAGAAACTTGTTCTTCACTCTCCTTCCGTGTCTTCTTCTTTTATCGCCGACGCCCCATGACATCCAGAGAACTGTTTTAAAGTTGTTCGGATGCTTTAAATCGTTTCGCACCTATTTTGACTCGTCTGTGTGTTTAAATGTTGTGTCGATAGAACTTTAAAGAATAGCGGGATTTAGAATTAGAAAATTCCTAAAGCTCAACGGAGAAAGAGCCTGTAACGGGACAGGTGAGCAAAGGTATTTTTTTTTTTTTTCAAGTAAAGGCTATATTTATAGTCAGGGATTGTGTTATTATGTTAAATTTAGCATGCCCGTTTTTGGCAGCCGAGCATACGCTGCACAACATTTGAAGTTGTAAAACTGTATTATTGTGACCTTCATCTTGATGCATTGAAGGCCACGCTTCCTGTCTTCTCACATCTGTTGTCTATGAACACGTGAGCATGTTGAGATTTAAAGTGGTGTAGCATCTTTGTCTTCATCATCATCATCATCAGTATCTTATATTGATAACAGCTCAAAGTTAGTGTAGGCAATTTCTTCTAGATACATTTTTTTTATACTGGTTGGAAGTTGTTAAAATCTTCTGTGTAAGGATTAGAACTATAAAATCATTTCGTCCAATCATTGCATTAGGTTGTTTTATTTTTGTAGTTCCGCTGGCTAGATGACTCAGAAACTGCCTACCCTACCTTTAAACAATTTAATACAAATATCCTAGAAACTGTGTGCAGCTTTATAGTTTTAAATATAATAAAAGCAGCTTATTACAACCACTTACTTACTGATAATAATAATATGGTGCACAATTACTATGCAAATGCATTTGCAAGTGTATGAATTATTTATGAATGAGTTATTATTTATAACAATACATTCTTAATTATTAAATTAATGTAAATGAATTCCTTGCATTTGCATTGTTTTACCCAAAATTATCTTCCTCTTTTTGAATGCTGTACTCCCAAAAACATCAGAAAAATATTGGAAGTGTGGAAGAGACAAAATAGTATTGACATTACAAGACATCACAATCATTTGTCTACATTTCATATCCTCTTATTCTTAAATCCTCCAGTTCCAGAGGCCACCAGACAGCCATGAAGCTACCTCACCCATCAAAGAGCTTCCTTTATTTGCTCCTAACTTTTGGTAACATATAGATTTTTTTTGTGAATTTATATGTTATGATGTTTTTTATTCACTTTTCTTCATAAAAAGCACGTTGAGAAAGTTAGATATGACAGTACAAGTTAATTATAAAAATTAGTCAACTATGCTGAAGGTATTTAAGGGGCCAGTATCTTTTTAAAAACAAGGATCTAAACTAGAGCATTTAATTCTTACTCATACTAATTTGTTAGTATGGTAATTTGTTTTACAATCAAACATGTTCTTCTAAAATCCTTTTTTAAAATCCTCTTTCCTGCTAGGACTGTTTCTAGGTGGAATGCCTGTTGAAGTGAACATTAGGGATACTGCGATTTTCACTTGTAATGAGACATGTAATGGACATCTCTCATGGACATTCAACACTAACAATGAAAATCTGGACGTTTTAAAATGTGCCCAAAATACTTGCACAGAAGGAGACAACTTTAAGAACAGAGTGAGCATCAAGCCTGGAACCCTGTCTCTAACCTTGTATCCTGTTCTTTACAATGATGAAGGCTGGTACTTGGTCATGTGCGATTCAGTGTTTCTCTGTAGAATCCACTTAGAAGCTCTTGGTAAGTTCTTGTTTTCTAGTGAAACATGACATACAATTGTTTAATGGTAATGTTTATCACCCTACATAGGGTGCTTACCACTGTTAGATGTGATCTATTGCTTTGTATTGTGTTCTTTCATTGTTTAGTGCCCACTACTGTGAGTGCCTCAGTCAGAAGCAATGTCACACTACCTTGCTACGCACGCACAGAGAAACAGATCGCTGATGACACTGTGAACATCCTGTGGAAAAAAGATGACCAAACGGTGGTACAAGTTCAAAAAGGAATTACGACATATGGCTCAGGTTTTAAAGGCAGGGCATCAGTTTCACTACACCATTATAAGGACGGAGATCTTTCCCTTAACATACTCAGAGTCACCCCATCAGATAAGGGATTGTATCGGTGCTATCACAGGGATACAGAGGAGCATGGTTATCCTGCTGCTGTCACTTTCAACGTTACAGGTTGTTGAATATTATATTTTTTGCACATTCTTTTTTTGTCCTGTAGAAGAAAAAAAAGTTAACTGAAATTGTGATTTTTTCCCCCCCCCCCAGCTGATCAAAAGTTCTATGCAAAAAAGTTTGGTGATAATCTCACCCTGGACTTGTTCGGCTCTGACCGTGTGAAGGTAACTTTCACCGGTCATGATGCAGCTGAGACCCTGGTTTGCAGTGTGACAGGAATAAATCCTACATGTTCATCTGACTACAGTCACAGAGTATCTGTCATAAAGGGCTTCCTCGTGGTGCATGATGCAACATCCTCTGATACAGGCACATTTACTGTGAGAGACAAGATGGGTGAAGTCATTGGTGTCAACACTGTTACTGTGGAGGGTAAGATTTAAATCAAACTAATTAAAGTTTTTTTATTTAAATCAGTGTAACAATTGGCATAATTTTACATTTAGAACTAAGTTACTCTGTCATCCACAGGTGTGACCCAGAGACATCACTTCATAACTGTGTCCGTACTAATTGGTTTCACTGTCATTTGCATTTGCCTGATCATTTGGTGTCAGTGTCATGGAAAGTCACAAGCACAGCAGTATCGCTGCAGTTATAAGGCAGTACTGTCTAATGTGGATATAAACCCAGAACCATTGAGAGAGCCTGCATGCATTGGATTGTCACAACAAGAAACCAACCCAGTGCCTGACGTTTGTCCTCGCACACCTGTAGAGGAGACCATGCCTGAGACTGTGAGGACCATTGAGAAGCAAGACGACACTGAAGAGTATATTACTACTGGAATTGGATTTGACAAAACAATATAGGAATACTTTAAGAGAACTCAAAACCTGCTCAAGTGTTTTTCCTCTGCTGTATTATATGCTATGAGAAATATGGCATTACATTTTTGAGATATTCTTGAAATTACTGCATTACTGTGCCAGTAAACTATATGGGAAAGGAGAGGAATTATATATACAGTGGTGTGAAAAAGTGTTGGCCCCCTTCCTGATTTCTTATTTTTTTGCATGTTTGTCACACTTTAATGTTTCAGATCATCAAACAAATTTAAATATTACACAAAGATAATGCAAGTAAATACAAAATGCAGTTTTTAAATGATGATTTCATTTATTAGGGGAAAAAAGCTGTCCAAACCTACATGGCCCTACGTGAAAAATTAATTGCCCCCTCCTGTTAAATCATGAAAGAACTGCAATTAACCACATTATTTTAGAAACCTGAGTTAAATTTCACTAGCCACACCCAGAAAATGTAAAAAACAGGAAGGGGGCCAACACTTTCTCACACCACTGTATATTATATACAAGAGAAAGGAGTTATATTTCTACCTCAAGAAGAACTATAGTTACTAACAAGACTGTAGCTATAGTTCTTCTATTTTTGCCACAAAATTTTGCCTAAATTTCACTAACAATTTGTTTTTCACTAACAAGTGAAATTCAGGCAAAATTTTGTGGCAAAAAAGATAACTTTTCCCTTATTAATGTAGCGACGTATGAAGCACAGCTTACACAGGAATCACATTCAAACCAAGCAGACGAATTCACATGACCAACTGGAAAATGAGCGGAATCTGCATAGGCAGAAAAACTCCTGACTGCACAGATTCCTCTTGAAATGACGGGAATTTGTCCGTGAAATTTCGAAGATCAATGGTAAATATGACCACACCTTAATTTAGTGAAAACAAGAACTTAAACAACAAGCTATTTTTTCTCGGTCACTGATATGACTGGAGTCTCATCTCAGGCTACTGATATGACTGACTCGTTTTAGTGTAGATTTTAAACAAATTTTTCAAAAGTACTGTACATGAACTTTTTTGTTCTTTTTTATGGGGAAGGTTTACTCAGCACACTAGTTTTTGGGTTTTTAAAGTCGATTCCAGTTAGCCACAGAAAGTAAAATGAATGTAAAATATTTTAAATACAAATCACGTAATGGCCTTTTTCCTGATATGTTTACATTGGCTGACAGACATCTTAAGTTATTAGGGTTGAGCCAGACATGGTGGGACTGCACTATAAGAGGGGGAACAAGCATTCATGTCACAGCTGGCTATATTTCACCCTCCATTTATCTTTGAATGTCTTCACAAAGCTAAGCTAAGGTTTCCTCTTATACTCACTGCTTAAAAGCTATCAGGGTAGTGGCAAATATTGCTTGTTGCTAAAGGATAAACTATTTGTTCAGTGACATGCTTGTTGCTTTAGGCTTATTGGTATTATTGAGATTGAGGTATTATTGCTGTTTGCCCAAAACAGAACTATACTGCCAAATAAAAATTGTATGCTAGGCATCTTTGACGATAGTGGCATGACAGACTATTATTCTTGCCATAATGATGATGTCCGATATTCCCATGCTGGAAGCTCACCTCTTTTACTCTGATGTTTTTTATTAAGCATTACTCTATTTTGTTGTTACACTTTGGTGCATTGTACTTTTTTTAATATACCTTTTCACCTTCTGGAATTATCATGCTTTGAAGCATGATCTAAGAAGCCCACCTCTTTTACTGTGATGCTTCTTATTGAGCATTTCTTTGCACTTTCTCTTGATGCACTATGATATATTGCACTTTTTTCTGTTGGTCATAAGCTTGTGATACTTTGCCTTTTTTTTGCCATTTAATTGTTTAAGTTGAATAAAATATTTTACGATGTATCAATGTATTTTTAAATAGAAATAGTTTGAAACAGTCCAGTCATCAGTCCGTTTTTCAGTTAAGACTGCTTTGTGGCATCATGTCTTACAGGGCTGACATTTGTTGACTACATAACAATGCAAATGATCTAAAATCTAAGAAGCCCTCCTATTTTACTGACACGATTCTTATTAAACATGACTGTGCTTTTTTCGCTACACTTTGATACACTTTGAATGTTTTTCTATTGCTCATAAGCTTGTCATACTTTGCCTTTTTAATATATGATTGTTTTGAATAAAATGTTTTATAATTTATCTTTAAATGTTTGTTTATTTTATTAACTTTTGTGATCAAAAGTCACATTGTATGAATGTGTGGTATATTATATATGTTTTTTTTAAACAAAATGTTTTTAGTAATAGTGAAGGTAATACCTTTAGTAGTAACTTTTTTTTAACATTTTTTACAGGCTCTCTGTGAATGTCACAATATTGTTTTGGAATTGTTTACTGTGACTTTGCACAGTGTTACTAATGATGTTTGTTTCTTTATAAAATTTGAGAAAAAAATAAGGACAAAATCTCTTGAAAGTCCACAGATGTACACAAATGAATGCCAATATTTAGAAATAGTTTGAAACAGTCCAGACATCACAATCAAGACAACATTACAGTTTTTCGGTTAAGACATGCTTTTGGCATGATGGCCTATAGGACTGACATTTGTTGACTACATGACAATGCAAATGATCTAAGACCTAAGAAATTCAGACCAGGAGATTATAACACAAACCATGTTTTCTTATAGGTCATGAGCAAAAGCTCAGTCAGACCACATGTTTTTGTATGTCTGTGCAGGCTACAGTGAACACGATGTCATGTGACATATTATGTGCACATCTATGTATGTTTAGTCACTCGGAGAGCTCCAGAATCCCTAAAAACTCAAATGACCACAAATTCTGCCAAAAGATGTACTTGTGGTAAACTTGAAAATATCTGCATAACAAAACCATAATGTAACTAATGCTTCCAAATACCCTGCTGATAAACACAGCTGGATTAGTGTTGAACTCCAATTGGCTGAACTAGATCATTCAGCTCAATAAAAAGCTTTGGAGATCTATTCTGTCCTGTACATGGCAGAGCAAATCACTACTGGAGCGAGAAACAGGTGGGTGCCAGAAACATGTTTGCCACTGAGAAATTAGTTTATATTTATGTAACATGATTGTATTAGTATCAATTTCATACTTTGTAATTTAAAATATGCTATTTTTCAGATTGCAAGATGAAGAAATTTGTTATAATCGTTATGGTTCTGACTGTAATTGCTGATGTGAGTACACTGATTTCATCTATCATATTACTTTATATTATTTTGGTCACTCGTGATTTATCAGTTCATCCACACATGCTTTGATCACTTTGATCCTTCCTTTTCTTCTAGATCACCTCAGCTAAGGTAAGCTCATTCATATCATCAGAATTATGTGTGTTAAGTTTAACATTGGCACTTTAAGCTGTACTTCCTTTTAGAAGCTGCATCTGATCAACGGTCTGAATGGAGGTCTGGTTACTGGTGTAAATGGAGTTAACCCTCTACTGGTGGGTGGTCTGAACCCACCTGTGCTTTCTGGTGGTCCTGTTGTTATTGGACAGCCTCCATTAGCACAGGTAGGAACTGAAGATTTACCAATTAAAAGAGCAATTCACCCAAAAATGAAAATTTGCTCAGTTTGTTAATGAGTTTGTTTCTTTATCAGACCTGATTTGGAGAAATGTAGCATTACATCACTTGCTCACCAAAGGATCTTCTGCAGTGAATGGGTGCCGTCAGAATGAGGGTCCAAACAGCTGATAAAAACATCACAATAATCCACAAGTAATCCATACGGCTCAAGTACATCTATTAATGCCTTGTAAAGAGAAAAGCTACTTATTTATAAGAAACAAATCTGTTAAGGCTTTTTAAAACCGTCACTTCTGGCCAAAATATGAGTCCATAATGATCCATAATTATGCCTCCAGTTAAAATATCCATTGCCTGTTGTGGTCTCACTCACTCAGCTACGGCTTGAAGTTGAAAACATCTTGATGGATTTGTTTATTACAAACACACAGCTTTTCACTTCACACGGCATTAATTGATGGACTGGAACCATGTGGATTACTTGTGGATTATTGTGATGTTTTTATCAGCTGTTTTGTCTCTTATTCTGACGGCACCCATTCATTTGCAGATAATCCATTAGTGAGCAAGTGACGTAATGCTAAATTTCTCCAAATTTTGGATGGCCTGAGGATGAGTAAATTTCCATTTTTTGATGAACTATTCCTTTAAAGTGTTACCTAAGATTACTTAAATACTATAATAAGTGATTCTTAAAGCTCAGGTAAGGAAGAAATAGCTCCTTTTTTTTTTTTACAAGGTACCAATCTTAATTTGATATTTTTGACTATATGCTTGCTTTACGGTTTTAAATCTTTGCTCTAAAATACAATCCTGCATTTATGAAGAAATAGAGCACAGATTCGGACACAGCAGCTTCAAGACCTTTCTGGGTATATAGTCATTATTTCTTAGCATCAGTTGAGTACCAGACATAGGCAGGTTTTTTTGGGTGAGGTAAAGGTGCATATCCTCGTACCACCACACTTAAGACATGCTTTTGGCATGATGGCCTATAGGACTGACATTTGTTGACTACATGACAATGCAAATGATCTAAGACCTAAGAAATTCAGACCAGGAGATTATAACACAAACCATGTTTTCTTATAGGTCATGAGCAAAAGCTCAGTCAGACCACATGTTTTTGTATGTCTGTGCAGGCTACAGTGAACACGATGTCATGTGACATATTATGTGCACATCTATGTATGTTTAGTCACTCGGAGAGCTCCAGAATCCCTAAAAACTCAAATGACCACAAATTCTGCCAAAAGATGTACTTGTGGTAAACTTGAAAATATCTGCATAACAAAACCATAATGTAACTAATGCTTCCAAATACCCTGCTGATAAACACAGCTGGATTAGTGTTGAACTCCAATTGGCTGAACTAGATCATTCAGCTCAATAAAAAGCTTTGGAGATCTATTCTGTCCTGTACATGGCAGAGCAAATCACTACTGGAGCGAGAAACAGGTGGGTGCCAGAAACATGTTTGCCACTGAGAAATTAGTTTATATTTATGTAACATGATTGTATTAGTATCAATTTCATACTTTGTAATTTAAAATATGCTATTTTTCAGATTGCAAGATGAAGAAATTTGTTATAATCGTTATGGTTCTGACTGTAATTGCTGATGTGAGTACACTGATTTCATCTATCATATTACTTTATATTATTTTGGTCACTCGTGATTTATCAGTTCATCCACACATGCTTTGATCACTTTGATCCTTCCTTTTCTTCTAGATCACCTCAGCTAAGGTAAGCTCATTCATATCATCAGAATTATGTGTGTTAAGTTTAACATTGGCACTTTAAGCTGTACTTCCTTTTAGAAGCTGCATCTGATCAACGGTCTGAATGGAGGTCTGGTTACTGGTGTAAATGGAGTTAACCCTCTACTGGTGGGTGGTCTGAACCCACCTGTGCTTTCTGGTGGTCCTGTTGTTATTGGACAGCCTCCATTAGCACAGGTAGGAACTGAAGATTTACCAATTAAAAGAGCAATTCACCCAAAAATGAAAATTTGCTCAGTTTGTTAATGAGTTTGTTTCTTTATCAGACCTGATTTGGAGAAATGTAGCATTACATCACTTGCTCACCAAAGGATCTTCTGCAGTGAATGGGTGCCGTCAGAATGAGGGTCCAAACAGCTGATAAAAACATCACAATAATCCACAAGTAATCCATACGGCTCAAGTACATCTATTAATGCCTTGTAAAGAGAAAAGCTACTTATTTATAAGAAACAAATCTGTTAAGGCTTTTTAAAACCGTCACTTCTGGCCAAAATATGAGTCCATAATGATCCATAATTATGCCTCCAGTTAAAATATCCATTGCCTGTTGTGGTCTCACTCACTCAGCTACGGCTTGAAGTTGAAAACATCTTGATGGATTTGTTTATTACAAACACACAGCTTTTCACTTCACACGGCATTAATTGATGGACTGGAACCATGTGGATTACTTGTGGATTATTGTGATGTTTTTATCAGCTGTTTTGTCTCTTATTCTGACGGCACCCATTCACTACAGAGGATCAATTGGTGAGCAAGTGATAAATTTCTCCAAATCTGTTCTGATAAAGTGACAAATTCATCTACAGTAAATCTCGGAAGGCCTGAGGGTGAGCAAATTTTCATTTTTGGGTGAACTATTCCTGTAAGGACTTTGTATATCCCACTAACAGGTAATGTCCTATACAGACAAATGCTAACTCTTTTGTGTCTGACAGATTCTGCCTGCTGCTGCTCTTCCTCCATATGTGCTTCAGCAGCCACCAGTTCCCTTCGGTCCCCCCAACATCGGACCTCAGTTGGCTTACCCTTTCGCGTCACCTAATGGGGTATTTGTTCATTTTCATTCACAATGACTGTGTAACAATATACATTTATTTCTGTCTCAATTAATGTAATTTGGGAAGCTGTTTTGGACTGTTCTGATCAACAGGGACTGGCGTATTACATTGGTGGACCCCAGAATCAACCAGCCATGATCCCTCCGCAGCAACAAGTTGCGGTACAAAACAACCCTTCTAGTTGCTAGTACTATTCCAACTCTATAAATTAAATGTATGGGCTATAAATATGTTCATGAAGCTCATTCCTAATGCTTTTAGGCTGGACAAGGCCCTACTGGAAATAATCAAGCTGTACCTCCAGGCTCACTGACTAGATTTAAGGTACAATTTATAAAGCAATTACAGGCAAAACCATTGTTTTTTAATGCCAATTTTTGGCCACTGATCCAAAATAGTTTCTGTAAATACTTGTAACTTTATCCTATTTATTTGTAGTGTGTTGCCTAAAACTACTAATACCTAACTATAACTGATGTTCTTAGTAAAACAAGTTCTGTAACTTCATTGTTTAGCAATATTCAGTGTTTATACAATATTCAAAAGGCAGAATTCCTGCCATCCACCTAACTGTGTTAAATTATTCTTCTCAGCGCTCCTTCCTCAGAAGGACCACAGCAAGACCTGTCTCAATCACCCAGGTTTGTAGAAAAAATAATTTGTATCTTTCTAAAAATCTATTGAGTGGTAGCCTGCATTATAATATAATTTATCATTTGCATACTACAGATGCCAGCTCAGATCAACCCTGCTGTGCCTGGAAATCCTGTTGGGTAAATCTGAGTGACGCATGAGTTTGAATAGCTTACAGTAGGTGTGTTTTATACATGTGTTGATACAGTTAAAAATTGATTTTATGATTAATGTACAATTATTAATACTCATGCGGAGAAGCTGATTGAGTTTGTTTCTTTTCACAGATACTTTCAACAGATCTTCTCTTCTCTGCAATAAATTTCATTTTTTATTTAGAATATTACAGGCTTATTGTAAACTGTCTAATGCTTAGCTTTAAACTGACAAATTGTCACCATTTGTAACAAATGTTACATGAAATGTACCGAATACTGAATAAAAGCAATTGATTTTGTTGCAGTTGTGAGTATTTTCTCTTTTGATTTCACCCTCTTAATCATATATTATGACCTCACTTTTTTGTTTGTTCAGTGTTATATTGCACTCACTCATGTGTTTATTTATTGTACAGTTACAGTACACACAGTTTTTAGTAGTCGTCAAAAATCATGTATCATGGTTTCCACATATTGTTAAGCAGCACCACTGTTTTATTTATTTATTTACTTACTTATAAATGCATGGAATGATTTCTGAAGGATCATGTTACACTGAAGACTGGAGTAATGGCTGCTGAAAATTCAGCTTTGCCATTACAGAAATAACATTTTAAAATATATTAAAATAGAAAACAGTTATTTTAAATGAATTGTAATCATATCGCATGACTGTTTTGCTGTATTTCTGATCAAATAAATGTAGCCTTGCTTGGTGACCATAATAGACTTCTTTCAGAAAATCTTTTTATGTATGATTCACTATGGGTATTTTAGTGCAAATAGTTTGTGTCACAACTGTTGTGCTTATCAAGGACAGAATTTAAACATTTTCATCATTGTAATTATGACAAGTGTTGAACAAGTGTTAACCTTCTAATGCAAAGATGTTCTGATGTCTCAATGAATGAATGAATGAATGAATACCCACTCCCAGGAACAGACAGACAGAATTTGAAAAATTCAAATAAATATACAGCTTTTTGCTGCCTATATGATAAAGACTACAAAATTGGGTTACATAATCAGACATGTTGGGTCTTTAACCAAGCCTACAGAGCTGGTGACTATTTGTTAAAAATAGAAAGCATAGTCTGAAGTAGACATTAAACAGTTTTTTTAGATATTAGCTGTAGTGTTGCCAGATTGGGCGGGTTCTCGCCCAATTAGGCGGTTTTGAATTTGATTGTGCGGGTAAAAATTGTCTTGGGCGGGTGGACAAAATTTGGGCTGGTTTGGGGTCAGTTTGGCGGTTTTCAAACATATAAATTGCATAGGCTAATTGTTTAACAAAACAAGCCCAAGTATGTATACTGCATCCAATCAGTCATAACGTTACTACACACACACACGCACACACACACACTGCAGAGGCGCTGGTGCTGATGTAAACGTCGACAGCCACACTTATCACGAGGGCTCAGCAGACAGACGTTATGATTCATGAGTGACAAGTTATAACGTATCTGATTTTGAATGTAGTATGACTGTATATTCAAGTAATCATAATGCCTAAATATAAATTAAAGAGTGGGAGAGTGACTCAACTCTCAAAACGTGAATTATTGTGGAGCGAGATGACACGAAGGCTCTATCACTGCAACTCCGAAATCATGAAAAAACATTGAATCTCCAAGCATTCCTCATGGTTAGTGTAGAAATCTAGTTCATGAAAATGCAAAGTTCTGTATTATGTTCTACAATATGAACTTAACAAGAGGCTAGTTCTAGTTCTGTGTAAAAGTATAGAGCGACACGAAGGTAAACGCATTATTGTTGTTGTTATTTTTTTAATTGTCGGATTATAATTAAGTATCAATGAATGACACAGTTTTGAGTTAACTGTCATGGTGTGCGCATGAACGAGTGTGAAATACCTGCTAATTACGTTGCTTTTTCCTATCACTTATATTGGGCACTTTTTGCATTTAAACTGGATTATTCTGACTGCTGACATTGAAAATCATGCATGTGTTGTTTCGAGGGTATCGGTTAATTTCATGATTGCCGTTTTGACAGTGTCTGCTTGCATATTTTATTCATGTTCGGTAGCCTAATTCTCTTTAATGTAGGCTATTCGCCCCGATTTGATCCGTTTACCTGCGAAATTTATCTTATTTATAATTTATAATTTCTTGATTGCCGTTTTGACAGTGTCTGTTTGCATATTTTATTCATGTTCGGTAGCCTAATTCTCTTTAAAGGTCCCATGGCATGAAAATGTCACTTTATGAGGCTTTTTAACATTAATATGAGTTCCCCTAGCCTGCCTATGGTCCCCCAGTGGTTCTATAACATTATTTTGACAGTTAAAAGTTTTGGGTGGGTTTTTGTGAGCTTTTGGGCTGGAAATCGTCCATCCAATCTGGCAACACTGGTAACGAGCACTTGAGTAACACCCTATGGGCAAACCATGGTGCAAAAACTATTTTGAGGAAATTGATACATTTAAGATAAAGATACAATAATTTGCAGCATAGTTAAAAGATATTGTTAATGTTATTTTGCATAAATGTCTTCACTGTCAAAAAAATATATGGTATTTGTATGTATATGTATTACAGTTTTGGTATAACGTTTTTGTTTTCTGATATATATTCAGTTGTTTTCTGTCATGCTCACAACTGTTACTTGTTCATTCTTTGTAGGTTTTGCGTCTCAATGGACTCACTCTGGCAGGTGTGGGTTTGGGTCCAGCACAGGTAAATCAGCTTCTAGTCACTGAAAAAAAAACAAAAGCAAAAACAAACTAGTATGTAGATAGCTTGAACATTTAAAGGTAAAATCAGGAATAATATATGACAGAGATATATAATTTCTGAACCTGAAACAAGGAATTACTTGGTATCTTAATATGGTGTTCTGTTGGTAGCCTATAGCAGTGTTCCCCAACCTTTCTTTAGTAGCGGCACTCTTTGAGTGGAACACTCACATGGGCCGTGAGCGACTGAGCGGAGCGCACACGCATAGAGCGGGATAATACGCAGAGCGTCACACCACGTGAAAGTGAATCCTGAGCGGTGAACTAATTTTCGGCAGCCGAAAAAATCTCTAATTATTGGCGACATCATAAATGGATATTATATAATAGCTGCTTTTTTGAACATTTTAGCAATTTAAAAATATTAAAAAAGGATTTTTTACGCGGCACCCCTGCTCTCGACAGACGGCACCCCGGTTGGGAAACACTGGCCTATAGTATGGTGCTTATATTATAAGGGGCTCATTTGAATCTCTGCTTTCTTTCTCCTCAGGGAACTGCATTTTTCCCTCCCTTCCTGATCCAGCAGCAGCACCCACAGGTGCTGAACTTTAACCCTGCGATGCAGGGACCCTTCCTGCCTCCTCAAATAAACCAGCTGAACCCAGCACAGCTGCCCCCGTTGCAGCAGGAGCAGCCTATACCTGGCATCATTCCCAACAACGGCTTACCAGCACAGAACCTTCCCCCGGTACAGACAGACTTCAAAGGGAACATCATGCACTCATGGATTTTTATATTTATTTTTTGGTCCTTATCCACAAGTTTTTTGAATTATTCTCAAAGATTTTTCTGGAAAGTAAAAAGGTCATATTTTGTTTTTAGGGCTTTCCATTCTTCCTGGCTAATCTATATCCTCCGAGGAACACTCCTGTAAGACTGACACCAAACCAGAACGCTGGCCCAAGTGTTCAAGCCCAGGACACCATGCAACCAATGCAACCAATGCAGCCAGTGCAACCAATCCAGGTATTGTAAAGCCTTTTCACACAGGCAAAAATGTGATTTTTACAAAGAAAGATCATTAAATGAAAAGCATATTATCTCCATGAAGAAAACAACAAACATGCATTTTTATCTGACATATCTCAAAAATATTACATGTATTTAATATTATATTTAATAATATATAAAACTGATTACTGTGGTGATCAGCCCGGTCCTGGAACTGGAGAGGTTTTTTCAGAAGTTATCTTTTGTTAACATGCTGTTAATAACCAAACATGACAAAACATGACTGGGCTGAATAATTACCGTAGAATTTGTAGACAGTTTGTTAACCAATCCTGTCTCTGACAGGGGCATCCTGGGTTCCCATTGTTTGGGCCATAGTCTCAGAAGATTTCATTATTAGAAAGGTATTAAAAGTTTTCTAAAATTGTATATTCTAATAGGATATCACACCAATTAATTGATCAGAATGTAAATTTGTTGTTGGTTTTCCAGATATCCCACTATGGAGACCCCTCATAGGAGACATTTTTGTTCAACTTGGACATATCCATATGTTACCAAATAAATAAAAGATGCTCTATTTATTTTGTCTAAAGTGATTTTTTTTTCATGTTGAAAATACTCCTTTGTATTCCTCCTGAAACTTGATTATAGGAACTGTGCTCATATGTATTAACTATTAAGAATACAAGAATACACTTCAGTGACAAAATGATCAAAGTCACAATGTAGATGCTGGAGATTTTATTGAACAGATTCTCAACAGTAATGATTAAAGAAAAAAAAAAATCAGCAAATTAAGAGTGAACATCCATAAATATGCATTAATTAGCAATAAAATAACATAACAATCTACATGACACATTTAAATTCTATTGCTGAATTATATAATAGCTGGATGTTCACCTGTGGAAAAAGAAAAAGAGGTTATTCAAAGCCAAAATAAAGTTTTTAAATCAAACTAGGTACAGCAATCTACCTTACCAGTGTGATTATTGTACATGGTTCTTTTCTAGTTTGTCCCACGATCACTTTCAGACTCCGCCTGGAGAATCAGAGTCCAAAGCAATGTTGAATAAATAAATAAATAAACAGGCCTAAATATAATAAGAGAATCTAAAATGTATACTCAAATACATCAAAACCAGTCACTCTTAACTTGGGAACCAAAATACTGACCTTCATGAATGCAGGGAGCTGCAAAGACAAGCGGGACATTCAAAAGATAAAAAACAAACAAACAAACAAACAAACAAAAACAAAACATTGAAACAAGAAAGAGAGTGCAGTTAGATGAAAAATTATTTTAGGTACTGGCAGATGTCAATAATGTAACTGATGTGATATTAGTACATATTCCTGATTACTTACAAGCTGTGTAATGCCATATTCAAATGAGATTTTTTGCTGTGGGGAACAAATATACAATAGACTGTTGTGTTGTTTAAAAAACTATATTTAGTGCCCAGATATGCAAGGTCATAGACTCCAGATGAAGACGATGTGACTTACCGTTGCAGTTGGGTTGTAGATGAGCTTCACATAAGGCTGTTAGATATGGAAAGTGTATTTACAGATTTGGTAAACTGAATTTAAATGTACTTTTAATGTTATCTTTCTTTAATATACTGTATGTTATCCTTTTATATATGTTATCTTTCTATTTATTTGATATATTTTATTAAGCATGATGAATGTTCATTATAGTGCCTGTTACCTGAGGGCCGTAGAGGGAGAAACCCTGACCATACTAAACGTGATAAAAAAATTCATTCATTAATTACACAACAAAGAAATCATATGGAACCTATTTCACAATAATAAAACAAGTTTTATAATAAAAAAACAACTTTACCCCCAGTTCCTGAGGTCTATTCACTCCACCCTGTAAATAAGTCACAAATAGTATACATTTTTTCAATATGAAATATTATTATATCTGTAAGAGAGATTTATACAAATTTGAATTACAACTTCATTACATTTTTTGGTGGCTGCATCTGCCTTTTGCCCTGGATGGAAAGAAGGTATTTTCGGTGTATATCATAAACCTTTAATGTTTACTTTCTTATTACTTTGTGTCTGTTTAAATTATAACTCTAATTATGTGTTCAGTCCTTCAAATTAAACAAAGTATGAAATAAAAAAGACATATTGTAAACTATTGCAAATGGAAAATGAATGGCAAAGTATTATCTTAGACTGTTTCATTCACTTACTTTTGGTACGAGGAACACATTCTCTCCCTGAAACAAAAGCAAAAATTATTCTGATTTTATCTTCTGTTTTATTGTATTTTTATATCTTGAAATACAGTATGTTAGGTTAATTAATGTCAATTTCCCCAATATAGTGGGATTACCTCCTTTAGATGGAAAGCACTAATATTCTGTTAAAGGGAGAACATATTTATTTGTTTATTTATTTTCGCTTTTTGGTATATTTACTCATCTCAAAATATGAAAGATTACTACTGTTTCTGGGTACAAAACAACAGCACCGCAAATTTCACTCACCTGCAAAGTGACATTGTCAGCCTATGTTGATCCAAGTGAATAAAAATATTAAACACAGATTACAGACTTCATATGCATTCAATTCATGACATTTAATGTCTTTAGTTGAATCATCAATATCTTACCTTGAAGATTGGAATGAACTGCCTGTTATCCTAGAAAATGTATCAAAGTGAACTCATAAATCTATACACAATCAATAGTAACTCAACATAAAACCCTGTTTATTCCATGAATGAATTTGTGAAAAGTGCATGTTAATATTAGCAGTATGAGCTTACCATCATGTTGGGACTCAAAGGTTTTCCAAAGAGTGGATTCATTTGATTCTCTTTACCCCCATCTACTGGCGCTTGGGTTGGGCGCGTCGGCATCCTATCCAGCTGAAGGGATTTAACAACATTTATAATTCATTTTCATATTTCAGCAAATATTAAATTTTTCCACATTAAATATGTAATCCTGTTTGTCCCAGAATTATGGCAATGGCACTTTTTTTCCACGTCTTAAAGACTCTAAAGGAACTCCAGGAACTTAAGTCTCTAGGCATTAAATGTGCAGTCTAACTTACTTTGTAAGATGGTCTGCCAGCTCTCCCATTCCTCTGTGTTTTTTTGGTTCCTCCCCATCTATGCCATTGTTCGCTCCGCTGTGTACAGCAGAAGATAAATCTAATGTTTATTGTACTGCATAATGATTGCAAACTTTGCAAAAAGTATTGAAAATGTTGCTCACCCAGTCTCCTCCATTTTGACCAGGGAACACTGGATCTTGTCCAAATGGAGAGCCGTTAGATGCATCTTGTGCGTGTCGCTCAGGTCCATCTGGATACAACGGGCCCACTGGATCTGGCTGTAATGAGTGTCAGTTGACTTTTGGAAGTTAAACTACCTTAAATAATCTTAGAGTTATGAATAAAGTGGAAAAACGCACAAAAACTGGACGTCCAAAATTCTGCTCCCATCTGGGCCTGATTGGAGTTGGCTGAGGTACTTTTACTCCTCCATGTTCTGGACCTGAGAAATATTGCTCTCCATTTACTGGGCTAACTTGATCCCAGTGATTTCTGTCATTGGGCTAATAAAAAAGCATTAATGCATTAAAAGATTCTGACACCTGCCGTGAAAATAATAACATGTAAAACAATGTGAAACTCCGTCATGATACTAATATACACTGATAACCTGAATACCCAAAATATCTCTCAGAATGTTGCTACTCACTTGAGCCGCCACCATAACACATGATAATGCCACTAGAAACCACATTGCTTCTGTAGAATAATAAATATATACAATTTTTAGCCTTAAATTTAAGTTAAATAGCAGCTGATGTGGCACCAGAATCAAAGACTTTGACTTCTCAAAGTTTGTGCCTGTTTCTAGCCGTGTCACATTGGTCGTGCTTCTCTCTTTATAAAAGCCAGATGTTGAGCAATTGTCACTGTTGTTGTGGATCATTTGTTTTGAACGAGGACTAATCAATTGTTAGAGAAATTGTTACTAAAAATACTAATACAAAGCTGAAGTCATTTAAGGTGGTCAAAATATAAGGGTATGTTGTAGTCCATTCAAGCATTTCATAACATTACCAAATTCTTGCTTCAAAGAGGTGTAAGTAATGTATGGAATTTCTTATAATTCTTTCTCTATTGCAATATCAGTCGGATAGATTAAAGAAAGCCACAGAGGAGTGTCTTGTGTAGGAGGATTGTACTGATTGCTAAACTAATTTGTTGTCTTAAGCCCACCTAATGTTTTAGGATTGAACCCGTGCATTTAGCAACAACAGTCAGCAATTTAACAATTTAAGGCATCAACATAACAGAGGGGTGTGATATCTATTGCTGTATTTAAATCCTCAGGTTGTTCAAATTATTATTATATTTCCAGGCATCAGAGCAATAAATATTCTTCCTATAATTTCTGCTGCTTTGGAGAATCATACTCTTTAACAGAAACATGAAGACAGTAATCTTATTTGCATGTCTTCTTGGTCTGGCTTTCCAGGTAAGTTTCAAAAGCTATACTTTTGCATTTTACACAGTTTAAGTTGCATGTAAATAATGTGACAGTGATGACAATGATTGTTTTTAATTGCAATTAGGCTGAAGTTCACCAGCGTGTGGCTCGCTCATTATCCAGCTCGGATTCTGATGAGGTTAGTCAAAAAAATTTTAATTTGCATTAACATTAATTCAAGATAATGTTTTAATTGCTATCATAATGTCTCTTATCAGACTGGAGCTTTTTTCCCCAATCTGCGTCAGCCTTTCCCGATTCTCAACTACGACCAGCTTCTTCAGCTGCTGATGGCCTTTAGAACTGTCCCAAATCCAGCCCCTGCCCCGGTGCCAACTCCCCCCACTGCCCCATCCACTGCCCCAAACCCGGCACCAACCCTCGCACCTATCACAGCCCGCTAAGACCTGCTCCTTTGTTGAGAAAAATTAAAATTTTCTGTTTACATGAGAGTGTCATAATGCTTAGAAGAGCTCTAATAGCCAGTGATATTAGTCTAACTATCTATTTGAAATAGAAAAAATTAAAGCAACTCAACACTTTCTAGACAACCTGGAACATTAGAATAATTACTACACAAGTGCAATTTATACGGGAGATAAAAATGGTCAATTGATTAATTTGTTGTTGTTGTTCTCAGTGTATTTCAACAGTTTGTTACCATTAAAACAATTTTGCTTTTATCAATTTTACTGCCTGTGTGTGTGATTCAGTATTTTGGATGTTACAAGTTTTAATTTATGAATAAAAACATGACTAATACATTTCACATGCCAGACCTCATATTTTCTCTATATTTTAGTATTATTTTAATGTTATGATTACTACACTCACGACCCCTAAAACCACCTGTGCTCAAACCATAACTCAATACACAACACTATTTTAAAATATATAATAAACTTAAGAACCAAAAAATATATAACTAAATAATATATATTTAACTATAAATGTGTATCTGTTACAGAAATAATCAGCACAG